AAGTTGACGAGAAGAGGAATCTGAAGTCGCATCCCAGGAGGAGGAGGACGGCAATGGAGAAGCAGAGGAAAACGGAGAGAAGGATGATCATGAGGATCTCCAGGGTGCTGCTGGGAAGGCGGTGCAACAGCGGGACCGCAGACCGCAGTCGAAGCAAGTGGTGTTGCCACACTTTGTCATGTGTTTGGCGCAGAAGGGTATTCCATACGATTGCAGTTGAAAAGAAGCACCGGAGCCAATGTTTGAATCGTATGAGTGCAACTTTGAATACGTAGAGTTTGACTTCCCCACATCCAAAGTGGGGTTATTGTTTTCTCTTGGTACCATGCGCATGAACAGGATGGAAGGATACTCCCCTCTCTTCGCACTCACACACCCACACACTCCCATCATCATCACCGCATCAACATCACTTACATTCTCACTCACACCCACTCGACCACTCTCATTCACCTACTCACACTCACCCACTTATCCTGAGTGGCTCACTCACTCACTCACAACACATACCCATCACTCATCACTCATCAGCATTATCATCATCATCATCATCATCATCATCATCATCATCATCATCATCATCATCATCATCAGCATCATCATCATCATCATCATCATCATCATCATCAGTATCACAACACCACCGTCACCATCGTCATCATCGCACACACTCGCTCACACACCCCACATTCTCAGCTGGAGGAGGTCTCAGGCGTGAGCCTCGTCTGTGAGTGAGCACCATCACTATCACCCATCACCATCGTCACCATGATCACCCATCACCCGCCACCATCATCACCATCACCATCGTCACCATCACCCATCACCATCGTCCTCATCATCGGAGGAGGTCTCAGGCGGGAGCCTCTTCTGTGAATTGCGAGGAAGTCCCAGGCGGGAGCCCCCTCGCTATGGGGCCCGCGCTTCATGTTCGAATCCGATGCGGGTCATCGGCCCCCTGTAACCGTCGTCACTTTTGGGCTCCTCAGGCTTGAATATGGAGGAAGTCGGAGGCGGGAGCCTAATCTGTGAGTGACTTGCAAGGAAGTCTCAGGCGGGAGCCCCCGCTCTATGGGGCCCGCACTTCATGTTCGAATCCGAGGCTGGTCATCGGCCTCCCGTAACCGTCGTCACTTTTTGGGCTCCTGGGGCCTGCGTATGGAGGAAGTATGAGGCGGGAGCCTCGTCTGTGAGTGACTTGCGGGGTAGTCTCCGGCGGGAACCCCTTCCCTATGGGGTCCGCGCTTCATGTTCGAATCCGAGGCGGGTCATCGGCCTCCTGTAACCGTCGTCACTTTTGGTGGGCTCCTGGGGCCTGAATATAGAGGAAGTATGAGGCTGGAGCCTCGTCTGTGAGTGAATCTCGAGGAAGTCTCAGGCGGAAGCCCCCTCTCTATGGGGCCCGCACTTCATGTTCGAATCCGAGGCGGGTCATCGGCCTCCCGTAACCGTCGTCACTTTTGGGCTCCTGAGGCCTGAGTATGGAGGAAGTATCAGGCGGGAGCTTCGTCTGTGAGTGAAGTGCGAAGAAGTCTCCGGCGGGAGCCCCCGCTCTATGGGGCCCGCACTTCATGTTCGAATCCGAGGCTGGTCATCGGCCTCCCGTAACCGACGTCACTTTTGGGCTCCTTAAGCTTGAATATGGAGGAAGTATGAGGCGGGAGCCTCGTCTGTGAGTGAACCGCGAGAAAGTCTCAGGCGGGAGCCCCCTCGCTATCGGGCCCGCGCTTCATGCTGAATCCGAGGCGGGTCGTCTGCCTCCTGTAACCGTCGTGACTTTTGGGCTCCTGAGGCCTGAGTATGGAGGAAGTATGAGGCGGGAGCCTCGTCTGTGAGTGAATTGCGAGGAAGTTTCAGGAGGGAACGCCCTCTCTATGGGGCCCGCACCTCAAGTGCGTTCTCCGGGTCGTCCTCTGGCGCGCGCTTCCACTGGGTCGTCCTCTAGCGCGTAGCCGCTGGGACGCACGTCGTGCGTTTCCTGTAAGTCGTGTTCCGCACGAGGAAGAGGAGGAGGAGGAGAGGGAGGAGGAGGAGGAGGACGAGGAGGAGGAGGAGGAGGACGAGTGTAAACCCAAGAGTCACCAACGATGTAGGAATAAACCCTCCCTCCAAGGTCCCTCTTCATAGGCCCCTACAACTGTTCATTGCGATTGAAGGAACTGCCTCTTTGGAAGGCAACCGTTTGAAGAACTTGATTCGTGCCAAAACATTGTTCTCGTGATTCTAACGCTACGGATCTACTTTACTGTTGCTATTTGTCAATCCTGAATCGTGTCATAATGCCACTCCTAGGACTTCAACACAGCGAACCAACATAACTGTTGCACCCGCATTATCCAGAATCCTTTCAAAACACAATCTCTGGCACGTTGGTGATGGGAATTCATGAAGCCCTTTCAAATATTAAAAACGCGCGCGCGGGCGATAACCACATTTTGAAAAGGAGCCGCCCTCAATCCGTGAAACTCTTGCAAATGTTCAAAGCGAATGTGCGCCGCGC